ATTCTACTGCCTGAGGGTTATAATCCCTAAGTGCGGCCGAAGGCCGCTTACGTAGAAAGGTGTTCTCTGCAAAAGGTGTTCAGCTCCTTTTCTTCGCAAAACAGAAAGGAGAATTCTACTGCCTAAGAGTTATAATCCCTAAGTGCGGCCGTAGTCCGCCTACGCAGAAAAGTGTTCTCTGCAAACGGTGTGCAGCTCCTTTTCTTCGCAAAACAAAGGAGAATTCTACTGTCTGAGGGTTATAATCCCTAAGTGTGGCCGAAGGCCGCCTACGCAGAAAGGTGTTCTCTGCAAACGGTGTTCAGCTCCTTTTCTTCGCAAAACAGAACGGAGAATTCTACTAAGTTAAAATTCCGAATTAAAAATCCCCTTTTATTATTCAAAATTCCAGTCTGGTAGCACCAAGTTGTAATTTATTCTGCTATCTTGTTCATCGTTTATATGAAAACTTTAACAATAAATTATATAAGAACTATAGGGTTGCTAGAAAAAAGGGGGGTATTTTGGAAATCAGGGGGTCCTATTCTACCCCCCCTCATCACCCTTTTTTCTAGAATTTGCCGTCCGTCTACTAAAATTTTCCCCAACATTCTCTCAATTTCGGTGTTTAAAAACATTTAAATCTTTAAAAAACTTGCTGAATAATTTCCTAAAACGTAATCATAAATAATCCAATAAGGAACAGACTTTTATTTTGATTTAATATAAAAATTTCATCGATGTTACCACCAGCACGCTTTCTTTCAAATGAAAATATGGCTGTCAAACTATCGAATTGCCTGCAATAGATGTCAAGCAATAAGCGGTGACATATATTGCAGCACATGAGAAATAGGCGGTCTCCATTGGAAATATATTTTGTGACATAGTTATCACGACATCAGTGTTTTCCTGTGGAGACAGGGCCTTATGTTTCGTGGTCTCTCATTATTCGTCGATTTTCGATAACTTTGTGTTCTTAAAAACGAATGGCTTTCCGCGTCGTCTTCGTGAAAATTTTTTCGTTATAGAAGTTGTAGTTTTCCTCGTGTGGCAATTGTTTAATATATGCTACCTATATTATTTAATAAATAAGTCTTAGAATGCTTGTTTGAGTATTTTGAGGGTGACATAATTGGTTATTAGGTAAGTACCACATTTATTTTATCTGCAAATGTGTCATACTTTTTAGCCGCCATCTTTGAAAACTGCGTTCGCTTTAGCAAAACGCATTTGCGTTGAATGGCTAAAGTGTTAATTTAATATTCGACTTGTAAATAGCGGCAATTCATCATAAGGTGGTTCTTGGTTTTTATTTTGACGCCAAACTGCGTGTCTATTGGCTAATCTTCGCGTTTTTCGATTCGGGTCTTTCATCAAACGCCGTTTCGGCTTGTCACCGACATATTTCGCATATTCAATAACTAAATATAAATTAATGCTTCTCGGTTCTGACAAATTCTTTTAAACCTATTTGATTTAATAATGTAGAACTTCCGGGGAAAATTCAAAGCCGCATACGGTTCGTCATCTACTTATACCGCCACATTGTGCTGAGATTAGAAAGCTGATCGTTTCGTCGCGTCCGGCTATATCCGATCCATTAAGAGAAATTTTCGGCAAACGTTTGTTTTCCGCCCTCTTTGCTTGAGGATTATATAATTTTCAACACTTAATTCCAAGAATAACGGACAGCTGTTGAAATGCCTGGAGCAGGCACTTTCAAGCTTTTCATCGGGAATCTAGACGAGAAGACGCAGGCTACGGAGCTGCGGCCACTATTTGAAAAATACGGTACCGTCGTAGAATGTGATGTCGTGAAAAATTATGGCTTTGTTCATATGGAAACTGAACAGCAGGGTCGCGACGCCATTCAAAATTTGAACGGTTACGTGTTGAACGACAACGCCATTAAAGTGGAGGCGGCAAAAAGTCGACGCGCTCCTAATACGCCAACAACGAAAATCTTCGTGGGAAATTTAACGGATAAAACGCGTGCGCCCGAAGTGCGTGAATTGTTCCAAAAGTATGGAACTGTTGTCGAATGTGACATCGTTCGTAACTACGGCTTCGTTCATTTGGATTGCATCGGTGACGTTCAAGATGTTATCAAGGAGTTGAATGGTCGCGTCGTTGACGGTCAACCACTAAAAGTGCAAGTTTCTACTAGCCGTGTACGCCCAAAACCTGGCATGGGTGATCCGGAGCAGTGCTATCGTTGCGGTCGTTCCGGCCATTGGTCGAAAGAATGTCCACGCTTATACGGCGGTGAACGCGGTTTAAGTGCCGGCGGATATAGAGACCGAATGTACGGCCGTGATCCGTATCCTCCACCTCCACCACCACCACCATTCTTACGTGACAGGATCATGGATGGCTTTAGGGTAAATTATGAACTTACAGTTCCTTAATTTTTTCATTTTTGTTTTATTGTATACGCATTACACTACTCCCTTTTAATTTATATATTATGAATCCTTATATTAGCGGCAATATATTTGATTGAAAAGTTTATATCACAGATTGTATTTGGAAATCTCCTAACATGTTTTTTAAGATTTTAAGAATATTCCAGAATGTCCCATTTATTTTATTTTTTTTATTTACAAAGATATTGCAACTATAACTAAATTATAGTACAATATGTAGAAATAGAAGCTATGGCATCTATGGCTTTAAGCTAACTTATATGTGTATGTTGTAACGTTTGTGGATATATCGTCGGTCCCTACGAAGAGTAACACATTTCACTATTCGCGTGGGAGACTAGCACATTTCACTATTAGCGTGGAAGACTAGCACATTTCATT